CCTGAAACTATAAATTCTAGAAGATAACATGGGAACACCATTCTAGCCATTGACTTAGGTAAGCCTTTCATGCCCAGAAGTAAATGCAATAAAACAAAGATAAGTAGGTGGGACTTAATTAAGCTGAAGAGCTTTTTCACGGAAAAAGGAACAGTCAGCAGAGTGAACAGACAACCCACAGGGCAGGAGAAAATCTTCACAATCTATGTGTCTGACAAAGAACTAATAACCAGAATCTACAATGAACTCAAACAAATTATCAAGAAAAAAAACAATTTTATCAAAAAGTAGGCTAAGAACATGAATAGACAGTTCTCAAAGGAAGATACACAATTGGCCTAAAAACATGAAAAACTTTTCAACATCACTAATCATCAGGGAAGTGCTGGGTGGAAGGATTCCTACTCCATTATCTTTCAGGGGTATTCTTATGAGTGCTCTAATGCCGGAGGAATACACTTGTGTATAACGCTAGCATGCTCTGCAGAATTCCCTAGAAACATCCCTTAAAATTTTAATCCTCTTTAAGTTGAACAGAAAGAACATTCTACAAATCCATAGACATAGGTTGAGAAAAGAATGGCAATGTGATTCCTATAGCAGCAGTGAATATACAGGGAGAATTTCTTCACTGAGTGTATCCAGAGGCTCAATCCTAAACAGACCACTTACATTTCATGGTGGACTTTATCTAGTCATATTCAAACTTGTGGTTTGGTGGATCAGCATGGTCAATGCATGTGTTGGGTCATTTGTGTCTCATGATTAGGCATTTGTTTTCTAGAGGCTTGTGGTAAGTCAAATATTCATCCTCAAAAGGAAAGTGGCATTTTCTGCTGCAAGATGTCTAACTTTGTGTTTAGACTTTAGGGAACACAGCTATACGTCCTTTGGGATTTTACCACTTGGGAATTCAGCTCTATTAGAGATTTCAGGCCTCTGAAAATGAGCGATACATTGGGGAATAAGTGGAAGCACAGTTCACACTTTATTCTGAATCAGCTTAAAATTCTTCAGTGGTTCTATAAAGTATGCACAGTGAAGTACAGGAAACCAGCCAAAATAAATTGTTAAGCAGCAAAGCATATCTAGAAGTCAATTAAATGTTATTCTACCTTCTAGTTTAAAAGGACTAAAAACTATCCTTAACTGTGGAGGAGATTACAATTTATGCTATATCTTTAGACTGATAAAAATTTTACTTAGGTGTATATTCCCATAGGCTTATATCTAACTTCTATTACTCTCGCCTTTTTTTTTTTTTTTTAAGTTTAGAATTCTTACCACTGTCTATTCCATACGGGTAAGCATTCTTGGAGAAGTGTGACATCCTCGGGTAAAGATGTGGTCCACATTGTTCATGACTAATTTATGAGAGAAATCTGCCCTTGCCATATATAGGTGTGATATTTAGTCAGCTTCCATAGAGTCTCTAAGCACCTTTACAAAGATCTAAACTTATGTTAAATTTTGGATAAATTGAAACAATATTCCAGAACTTTCATTATGTTTTACCAAGACGAAACTTAAGAAATAAAAGAGAGCTTATAAAATCACCATAACTGGAAAATATTCACTGGTGATTAAAATGTTAAGAATTTTGAGGGAGAAGAAATATTTTGATTTATAAATTTCACAGATACGAGGAGCACCAATGGTATTGGTCAGCAACATCCTAACTCCATTTGATATTATTTACTGCATAGGTTAGGGAATCACCAGCTTGATTTTATTTTTAATTACTAAATATCCTTTCTAAGTATATACTCCCAACTTTGGGATATGATGACTACATAAAATATGAACCATACATCCCACCTATTGTGAGAAAAGCTCGGTCTCGATTCTTTATTGCTTGACACTATTAGCTTCCAGTGGGCCACTGTGATCAATGTCTGAAAACTTTAAAGATATTATCTGTAGAGTAATCATATTCTCTTATAACTCTTTCACTTTTTGAAAAAGACCAAGTAAATCAGCCAAGGTATGTGTAAAGCCATTATAGCAGTCTTTATCACGGGATCTTTATTTTCTGGCCTTCAATCTTCAGTCTCATTATAACCAAGGATACCAACTATTCTTATCATAATAACAAATTTAGTACTGATTATTCCTAGAAGCTTTTTTAGTATTTTTTACACATTATCTTTATTCTCATGACAACCATATTGGGTAGCATTCTTATCTTCTTTTCACAACTGAAGAATCTGAGGCCCCAAATCCCACAAGTAGAAGGTGGAGCCATACATGCAGCCTGAACCAAGGCTGTGTGTATACACTGCTGGAGTCATGTTCTGTTAGTATGAAAGAAATATGGCTCCCTCTTTTATGAGCCATTGCAATGTCTCTCATACAGCTCAAATAGAATCTTAAGAAGTACTTTTACATTTTCTTTCATGCTTTGTGAGTCATAACCAAATGTCTCCAGCTCTGTCATTCCCCAAAACTGGATTACAATCTCCACTTTTTGCTTTTGCTGATAGGCACTACCTGTGTCTATCAACTCTATAGATATTTCCACCATAATCAACAACGCTCTTATAAGTATAGCCTTTCCTGCAAGTGGAGAATGAACACAAGGCCCATTTAGCTCTTTGGAGTTTTTCCTTTAAAAGCCTCTCCTTCTAGCCACTAACAGGATGGAAACATTGTGTAGGAAACAATGTGGCTTTTGCTGATAGATTCAGTATAAATCTACTATATACTGTAAATCCTTTCTCTCCAAACCATTGAATCTCTTTGCCCAAATTACACCAAATGCTGGCTCTTCACAGTAGTCATTATGAACCAGGACTTAGTATAATTGTACATCATTGTTTAAACCAGCAACCTGTTAAAACTCTTGAGATTTGTCCATTGTGCTTTAATGTGTATTTTCGGTGCATCCAACAAGTAACAACAATAACAACAAAAAAATATAGCATACTCCAAATATGTTCTGTCTCCTGGACAAAGCATTTTTAAAATCCAAGCCCATTTCATCTCTTCTAGCTTCTGTCAATACACTGACAGCTTATACAACCCATCCTGAAAACATTTGCACTCCTGAATATGGTTTTGCATAGTGATTCTAGGGTCAGTGACAAACTTCCACTCTAGTTACTGGATATGTCTCATAACTGGGAATATAATGATATCTGCAAAAAAAAAAAAAAAAAAGAAAGTATGGTAGGAGGAGTTAGGGGGTAAAAAAAAAAAAAAAAAAAAAAAAAGATTAGAAATGTCCTGATGTGTCACACGCCTCAACCATAAAGCTCACTTAACCCTTTTAAAAGTTTATACTTAAGCGAGCAACATTTTAAATTTCCACCAGTCAGCGTCCTAACCATGAAAAGTTAAGGCAACTGGGAATTCAGCTTACCTGCACATGGCCCTCTTTGCACTATGTGAATGCACTGCTTGGAGCATAGCAGTGCCAGGACTAAATTCAAGTTGAAAGTGTTTTCTTCCACAGTGACATGGTTGTACCAGTTAGGATACCTTTGAATACAAAGGGCAGAAACCTAACTAAATAAGCTTCCATAATGGGACTTTGCTTTCTTATACAACCAAGGTCTGGGGTAAAGGAGCTTCCAGTGTTGCTCCAAGAGCGCAGCAGCATTATTGAGGATCGAGGGTCTTCCCGTCTTCCTTTTCTACCATACATAGATGATGCACAACTTCAGGCTGGCCCCTCATGGTTTTAAGATTGTTACTGCAGTTTCAAGCATCATGACAATCAATACAGCATTCAGTCTAAGGAAAGGGGTATTTATTAAGCATTTATATAATTGTGGATGATCAACTTTCCCATAACACAGGCAGACAGCCTTTCACATCCCAAACCAGGCTTTAGCTACGATGGATTAAGATGCCTGGCCATAACCTAGTCACAGATAAATCAGGCAAAATGGTTATCTCACATTTTAATCTTTGGCCAAAAATGTCCTAAAATGTAAAAATGTAAAGGTTGTTTGTTGGGTAATCAGTAAAGCATATTTGACACATTAGTGGTCCTCAATTTTGTTAGCTGTCTACAATTAGAATGTATTCATGTAGGTAACATAGGGTTACCATAAAATCTTAGAGTATTCTGTATCCTGTTACTCTTTCACATTATAATATCTCTCCAAAGCATTCTAATATGGTGTCTATTCTGTGGCTCAAAGCCTTGATTTTGTTGAGTGTGTCCTCCTGAAACAATAGCATCATCAGGTGATAGCCTTACTTATTTACTATCAAAACCTAAATTTTGTGTTTCCATTATTAATGAGAGTACCTCATGTTCCCCATTTTGTTCCATCCAATTCCATGTCACATCTGAAGTCTATTCTTTAAAACCTAACTACCTAACTACCATGTACCAATATGTTGCAAAAAACTGTAAGTGAGAGAAGAGATTAGGGTTTGGTACAGGACAATTGTTATAATAGTGCCCCAAAATGTTTTGTCTCTATGCTGTCATTCTATATTTGGGTTTCAGTTTGGATGAGTAAAATATGCATCAAACTATGCAGGATGAGATCATTGGCTTCTCTTTATTTAGGAAAGATCCTAAAAATGGTAATTTTGTCGCCATTCAATATGGAGACAGATACTGGGCAGAGTATTATCTTTGCCACATCAATGTGGATTGGCCTCTTTCCAGAGCAGACAATGGTGGTTACCTTTGAATCATGAATTTTAATTCAATCAATCAATTGTGGCTAGGCTGTCAGGGTTAGTTTTATTCAACCAACTTAGGTAGCATAATATCAGCAGTTTATTGTTAAAACAGTATTTTTAGAAAAATATAGGGGATTTCAAATGTACTTTAGACTGTATTTCTGAACCAATTGGAAGCACTAAGAGGAGCCGTTTAGCGAATGGTTGTTTTATACTACTCAACATGCTAAGAGTGTCACATAATTAATATCACCACTGTACAGGAGAAGAAACAAAATCAGAGGAAGTGAATTCCCCAGGATCATATAACAGATAAGCCTATCTATACTCACTGAAATCTTTGAGTAGCTTTAAAGAAAACAGTTAAAAAAGAAAGTCCTTTAAATTTAGCTACCCTTCACATCAGAGGCATGTAAAAACAAATACACATAAGGAGGCACCAAAGTATTAACCAGGTAGTAAATGCTTGTGCTTAATATTGTTTCAAGCAGCCTTTAAGTAAAATAAAGTTAAAATAAAATGTGTCTAAACTTTAAGTAATAGTCTCCTTTGTAATAGAATTCTATCTAAAACCTCTGCTTCTTAAACACATTTGGTGGTTGCTTTCGTTTTAGATGATTTTTGTAATGCTTCTTTCTCCATCTGTTATACAAGAAGAAGATTATTCTGTTCTGGCTTCTGCATGATGGGCATGAGGTTAGGTGCTTTACGCATACTGGGCTGCTGAGACTTTTATTTCTCCTATTTGAAATATGCACTTCTCCATTGATTAAAAAGGTGGATTATAATAGCATACACTATATGAAATTCCTTAATACATGCCTTTAAATATTACACAATATAATTTGTCTGAGCCATCTCTGAAACATCTCCTAATCTATAAATTATTATTTTCCTAAGTGATGCAGGTATTTGTCCTTTTTATCATGAGTGTGTACAATTTTTACTCTGATTAAAATCATGTCCTAAATGGAACATTACAAACTAACCTGGATAATGGTTTTGATCTATATTCTGCTGTTGGATACATGCTTCTTATTTTTAATTTGTATTCAGATATGCACATCAGGAGGGAAGAGTCTAATTGATTGTTCTGAAGACACAGTACATACCACATCAAAATAATTGGAAATTTGGAATGCAGCCTTGTATATATAATGCATTTTCCCCTAGTTACTATTTCTTTTGAATCTGAGGTTGTGCAGTCAAAATGCAAACATTTTGAAAATTACTAAACTGAAAATTTATTATGAATGCTCTTTAGTTCATAAACACATGTCTTTGAAGCACCAAAATAGTCAAGTATTAGGGGTTTCCTTTGTGGTACTGAACTAAGCTTTGTGCAAAATTTACATTCTTCTTTATTAGACAGGTTAATGTGGATGAGCCAAGTGCAAATTCTCTCTCTTCTATGTGTTAGTTTAACCTCAAGCTCAAGCTCTTTAAGTCTCTTTTTTTTTAATCTAAAAATGACCCATGATAATTAACCTGTTTAAATGCTATATAAGGAGTGGAGAACCAAGATGGCTGAATAGAAACAGCTCTGGAGTACAGTTTCCAGCGAGAGCAATGCAGAGTGTGAGTGATCACTGCATTTCCAAACAAAGTGAAAGGTGCATCTCAATGAGACTGTTTGCACACTAGGTGTAGCCCAAGAAAGGTGAGCCAAGGCAGGGTAGGGCTCTGCCTCACCTGGGAAGTGCAATTTCCGGAGGACCCCCCTCCCTACACAACGGAGGCCATCAGGGACTTTTCCATCCACTCCAGCACTCCAGTTCAGATACTGCACTTCTCCCACAGTTTTTACTGCCCACAGACCAGAAGATTCCCAGGCTAAAAAGCCCCACCAGTTTTCCAGCATGGCTGTTTCAGTGTTGCGGTTTTCCACACAAAAATTCACACAAATCCGGGTGGCTGTTTCAACTGTTACCTGGAATGCCTGGGAGACAGAGCCACCCATTCAACCGAAAAAGAGGGGGCTAAAAGCAGGGAGCCAGGTGATCTGGCTCAGCAGGTCCCACCCCACAAGGACCAGCAATCTGAAATGCTCTGGACTGAGACTTTCACAGCAAGCACAGCTGGACCTGGGAAGATCCAGCTCTGTGGGGGAGAAGGGTATCTGCCATTACTGAGGCAGTCCACCATTACCAAGACAGTCTGCCATTCCCAAGGCAGTCCACCATTACAGAGGCTGTCTGCCATTCCCAAGGCAGTCCACCATTACCAAGGCAATCCACGATTACTGAGACAGTCCACCATTACTGAGGCAGTTCTAACTCTACCTCTGTAAACAAAAAAGCAAGGAAGTTTATACAGTAGCTAGGCAGAGCCCAAGGGAGCTCAGCAACACCTCTGCTGGCAGACTGTGACTAAACTACCTCCTTGCAGGACAGGGAATCTTAGAAAAAAGGCAGCAGCACATCAGGAACTTATAAAGTCCCACCTTCCCAGGACACAGCACCTGGGAAAAGAGATGGTTATGAGTTCTGCTGCAGCAGACTTAAATATGCCTGCCCAGCAACTCTGAACGGAAGAATGGAGCTCCCACGACAGCACATGAGCTCTGATAAGGGACAGACTGTCTCCTAAAGTGGCTACCCAATCCCTGGATATTCAAAGAGGCACCTCGTAAAGGAGAGCTCAGGCTGACATTGAGCAGGTACTCTTCTGCAATGAAGATAATAGAAGAAATTGGCAACAACCTTCACTGTTTTGTAGCCTCTGTGGGTGATGTCCAGGCAAGCAGGGTCTGGAGTGAACTTCCAGAGTCCTTCAGCAGAGAGACCTGACAGAGGAAAACAAAAAAACAGAAATAGCTACAACATCAACAAAAAGGACATCCACTCAGAGACTCCATCTGAAAGTCATCAACTACAAAGACCACAGGTAGCGAAATCCATGAAGATAGGAAGAAACCAGCACAAAAAGATAAAAAAAAAAAAAAAAAAACCCAGAATGCCTCTCTTCTGCTAAGAGATCATAACTCCTCACCAGCAAGAGAACAAAGCTGGATGGAGAATGAATCTGATGAATTGACAGAAACAGGCTTCAGAAGGTGGATAATAACAAATTTCTCTGAGCTAGAAGAACATGTTATAACCCAATGCAAAGAAACTAAGAATCTTGAAAAAAAGGTTAGACGAAATGCTAACTAGAATACCAGCTTACAGAAGAACATAAGCCACTGGATGGTGCTGAAAAACACAGAATGAGAATGTCACAAAGTATATACAAATTTCAATAGCTGAATCGACCAAGCAGAAGAAAGGACATCAGAGACTGAAGATCAACTCAATGAAATAAAACAAGAAGGCAAGATTAGAGAAAAAAGAGTGAAAAGAAATGAACAAAGGCTCTAAGAAATATGGGATTATGTGAAAAGACCTAATCTACGTTTAATAGGTGTACCTGAATGTGATGGAGAGAATGAATCCAAGCTGGAAAACAGTCTTCAGGATATTATCAAGGAGAACTTCCCCAACCTAGAAAGCAGGCCATCATACAAGTCCAGGAAATACAGAGAACACCACAAAGATATTCCTCAAGAAGAGCAAACCCAAGGCACATAATTGTCAGATTCACCAGGGTTGAATTGAAGGAAAAAATGCTAAGGGAAGCCAGAGAGAAAGGCTAGGTTACCCACAAAGGGAAGCCCATCAGACTCACAGCGGATCTTTCAGCATGAACACTACAAGCCAAAAGAGAGTGGGGACCAATATTCAACACCCTTAAAGAAAATAACTTTCAACCTAGAATTTCATATCCAGCCAAACTAAGCTTCATGAGCAAAGGAGAAATAAAATCCTCTATGAACAAGCAATTACTTGGAGATTTCATCACCACCAGGCATGCTTTACAAGAGCTCCTGAAAGAAGCACTAAACATAGAAAAGAACAACCAGTACCAGTCACTTCAAAAATGTACCAAATGGTTAAGACCATTAGTGTAATGAAGAGACTGCATCAACTAATGGGCAAAACAACCAGCTAGCATCAAAACGGCAGGATCAAATTCACACATAACAATATTAACCCTAAATGTAAATGGGCTAAATGCCCCAATCAAAAGACACAGACTAGCAAATTTGATAAAAAGTCAAAACCTGGCTGGGCACGGTGGCTCACATCTGTAATCCCAGCACTTTGGGAGGCTGAGGCAGGTGGATCACGAGGTCAAGAGATCAAGACCATCCTGGTCAACATGGTGAAACCCTGTCTCTACTAAAAATACAAAAAATTAGCTGGGCAGGGTGGCGCGTGCCTGTAATCCCAGCTACTCAGGAGGCTGAGGCAGGAGAATTGCCAGAACCCAGGTGGCGGAGGTTGCGGTGAGCTGAGATCACGCCATTGCACTCCAGCCTGGGTAACAAGAGTGAAACTCCATCTCAAAAAAAAAAAAAAAAAAAAAAAAAGTCAAAACCCATCAGTATGCTGTATTCAGGAAACCCACCTCACATACAAGGATACATATAGGGTCAAAATAAAGGAATGGAGGAAGATTTACCAAGCAAATGGAGAGCAAAAAAAAAGCAGGAGTTGCCATCCTAGTCTTTGAGAAAATGGACTTTAAACCAACAAAGATCAAAAGAGACAAAGAAGGGCATTACATAATAGTAAAAGGATCAACACAACAAGAAGAGCTAACAATTCTAAATATATATGCACCTAATTCAGGAGCACCCAGATACATAAAGCAAGTTCTTAATGACCTACAAAGAGACTTAGACTCCCACACAGTAATAGTGGGAGACTTTAACACTCCACTGTCAAGATTAGACAGATCAACAAGACAGAAAATTAACAAGGATATCCAGGACTTGAACTCAGACCTGGACCAAGAAGACCTAATAGACATCTATAGAACTCTCTACCCTAAATCCACAGACTATACATTCTTTACAGCACCACATTGCACCTACTCTAAAATCGACCACATAATTGGAAGTAAATAACTCCTCAGCAAATGCAAAAGAATGGAAATCATAGCAAACAGTCTCTCAGACCACAGTGCAATCAAATTAGAACTCAGGATTAAGAAGCTAATTCAGAACTGCACAACTTGATGGAAACTGAACAACTGGCTCCAGGTAACGACTGGATAAACAATGAAATGAAGGCAGAAATAAGGAGGTTTTTCAAAACCAATGGGAACAAAGATGCAATGTACCAGAATCTCTGGGACACATTTAAAGCACTGTCTAGAGGGAAATGTATAGCAATAAATAACCACATGAGAAGTGAGGAAAGATCTAAAATTGACATCCTATTGTCAAAATTGAAAGAGTTAGAGGAGCAAGATTAAAAAAAACAAAAACAAACAAAAAACAAACCTCAAAAGCTAGCAGAAGACAAGAAACAACTAAGATCAGAGCAGAAGTAAAGGAGATATAGACACAAAAAAATCTTCAAAAAATCAATAATACTGGAGCTGGTTTTTTGAAAAGATCAACAAAACAGACCACTAGTCAGACTAATAAGAAAGAAAAGGGAGAAGAATCAAATAGATACAATAAAAAACGGTAAAGGGGATATCACCACAGATTCCACAGAAACACAAACTATCATCAGAGATTACTACAAACAACTCTATGCAAATCAACCAGTAAACTTGGAAGAAATGGATAAATGCCTGGACACTTGCATCCTCCCAAGACTAAACCAGGAAGAAGTTGA